TCTGTATTCGGTCGTAGCCTTAACCCTCAAAGCTCACTGCAAACACCCAAGGAAAGTGTCCTCTAAGAGAAATGGTAGGTCTTCTCTTCCTCTTGGCTCTCCTACCCTCTGCTATTTCACCTATAACTTTTTCTTGAGCAGAGTCAGTTCCACCCAAGTCTTCAGGTATTTAGTGTGAATGTATTTATGGGGAGAAAGAGGATTTCAGGGACCAAAAACATAATGCTTCTACTTAAATAAAAACTTTATGTGGGAAAAGTTGTGTCTATTTATATTTTTAAGCAACATATACATTCCTTGAATTTCAAAAATAAAAAAAAAAGATTAAAAATTACTCCAAGACTATTAAGCAATCTGGAACATAACAATAGCTTAAAAAAAGCTGAGTACTCAAGAGTAAGAGAGTGAGCAAGAGACTCTGATAGAAGGAAAACACAGACCAAACAAAATACATTTGCCAGTATTGAATTATGACATATCTGATGCCAGGGAGCAAATTAAATTTAACTCTGGAAAGTACAGACCCAGTACAGGCAAACACAAGGTGCTTTCCTGCTCAGCCTCCCTTTTCCTGCTGTAAAAGGAAAACACTTGCTGTTTCTAATCTTTCTCCCTTTCTCATTCTCTATATCAATTATAGAGCTTCCGCTACATTGCTATTCCTTAATCATAAAGCGGCTATGGCTAAATCACCTTCATATATGATGTGCTCTTATTTCAATGGGACAACCTCCAGTTTTTTTAACTAACCAATAGGGTTTTTTTCCCCTCTAGAAGTTCTCTACATCCTGCATTTTTCAGCAGGTGAAGGCTTGACTCAATGCCTATCTCTGTGATCCTACAGCATTCCAGTGCTGGCAGGTAAAAAATACCTCTCTCCATGATGAACACAGCTCTGCCCTGCAGCTCAACCCTCATACTCAAAGCCGAGCATCCGACATACCTTTGCCAGTTCACCTAAATGCTAAACAAGTTTAATGCTTAAACATGTCAAAATATCAGAAATCTCTGCAGCAGTTCAGTGGTGCAATTTTTTTTGTTGTTGTTTTTTGACGAGTAGAAGAAAGTGCTCAGTGAGAGATAAGGCTGGATATCCCCGAGCCCCATCTCATTTAAGCCTGTGTAATGTAACCGGTCAGGCAAAAGATCTCAAGCTCTGCAATGACCCTCTGCATGCTGCCTACCCCCAAGCTGTGGGTCTCTGTGGACCAAAGGGAGGCTCCCTGCAAGCTGCAGGGCTCAGTGACGCTCCTGGAGAGCATCCCAGGGCAGACATCCCCTTACCTTTTTCACAATAGCAGAGCGCTGCCAGGGCCAGAGTCAAGATCAGCAGTGCCAGCAGACTCCTCATCGTCTTTGGCTCAGCTCTCCAGCCTCAGAGCTTTTCTGGAGACTAACGGGATTCTCTGGAGTTTGCTTGCGGGCAGCAGTTTATATCCTGTGATCATCTGGAGAGATCAGGGCTCTGGCTCGCGTTCCTGCATCTGGACTTCAAAACAAAGCCCGTCATTTGGCCCAGGAGATATCTGGCCCTGGCAGCCATTTTGACATCCATCTGAAGGCTCATGCCATTTCCAGAAGATTTTATCTGAAGTTTTGAACAGGACTGTTGAAGAAAAACAACTGCTATAAAAAAAAAAAAGCTTTATTAGAAACATGAAAGTCATTAAGCTTCTTGAAGAAAAGCCATGGGAGAGACTAACACAACCTGAGGTGGAGCAGTTCCTTTGGCATGGTGGGACTCTTTTCTGTAGAAAATCAAAGGAGATTGAACCTGATGGTGACCATCTTCCCCCAGCCCACTTCACCCATCCCTCTGAAGGAAATCAAACCCTTGAAATGGTCTGCATAGGGTGAACATGCAGTGGATTTTCACTCAGACAGTTTCAACAAACTGCTTTGGAGAGCTGAGATTTTTACATTTTTATGAGCTTTGGTAATTATATGTTTTTGGTTTTTTTAGGGGGTGGGGAGGGTGTTCTTTCTTTTTTCTTCCTGAAAAGCTTTCTAGTTTGGAGGTTATTAGTTTGGCTTCTCATGTCTCAAAACCAAATAAACTCTGAGAGCGCAGAGATGTTTTATTCTTCAGGTCTCAGGTGGCTGTAGTTACCCCAGTAGGTTAAAAGCTCCATGTGGGGCACTGGCTCTCACCCAGCCCAAGGGCCATGCCTGCCCCAGCTGGTGTCAGCATGCTCCCCAAGCAGAGCAGGGCTGGCCCAGCCCCATATGTGTGGAATTGTCCCCACCATCTCTCCCCAGGCTCACCACAGGGTACCCAGAGCCCACACCGTTCCTGGTACCAGCAACAAACCATGACCATATCATTGACCAAATCTCTAGCTGCGTTTTTTCCCCCTGTTCAGGGGAATTTCAATGAGTACTATAGCTTTGCCTAAAGGCGCAACTGGGCCCTTGGGTATGGCCTGAGCTAAGGTGACAGCTGTTCTAGCTTGGTGACCAAATGTACTTTTTTATGGCTTTTATTCAGAGTTACATGATGGGCTGTGTTCCTGCTCACACGCAGTAGCTCACCCCCTCTTGCTCCTCTCCACAAGCCTCCAACACCCTCTCTGGCAATAATCCCATGCTCCCCAAACCTGCCAGCCCAATTCCCAGAGCCACGTCTCATTGTAACCACCTCCACATGCCACATGGCTCACATCATCCGCCTCCACCTCACAGCCTCTCCTCCTCAGCTCTGCACACAGCCCACCTTCCTTAGTTTCGAAAGGGAAGAGGAGTGAACTCAGGAGCAGACAACAGGGAGGCATCCGAGGGTTGCAGAGCTAGAGCCTAAAGGGTTTCCGAGGGCAGTCAGAACCATTGGGTATTCTGCCAATGTTTAGAAACTCTGTCTTTTGGCTTAGAGAACTTTCAGGATAAAAAAAGAAAAAAAAACTGTAAAACTTTTCTACAGTCCGGGAGAGACTGAATGTATACACTAGCAACTTCCAGCAAAAATATCTTAAAGAATAGCAATTCAAAGATAAATAAATAAAAATAATAGGAATTCTAGCAAAAATCACACTTCCAAAAGAAAGCTTGAAAGAATATAAACATGCAGTTCTAACAATCCAAACACCATTACTTCTCTTCGCAGGCTTTCCTAAGCTTTCTGATCAATATGTAGTCTCTTAGATGTATTTGGTTATTGCTTACGTTAATGAAATCCCACTGAAATCTCTGGTATTATTCATTATTTATAGTGGTAAACCAAAGATTAGATTCTCCAGATATCTCTAGACACAAACCCAGACAGCACAAACCCTACATCTTCAGTTTTGGTGGTGTTAATGTGTCAAGTCAGACCCAGACGCTGCAGACCTGTTGACTTCAGGGTATGAACATTTTGCTCTGATTGGTAATCCCACAGTTCACCTACTCAGGAACATGCAGAAAAACTGAGGGTGCAAATATACCTAATCCATATTACTTTTTTTTCCTAAACTCACTTCTCACTCACTTTTTCCTTTGGACAAATTTTAGAAACTCTTAGGCTTGAGTTTCATATCAGAAGAGTTTTCAACAAATAAAGCACATTTATTTCCAAAAGCTCATCTCTAAAGCTGCTAAAGCCTTGAAGCATATTTCTGAAGATGTGTGTTTCTAATATGGAAGCTAGGTTTAGCTCTAGGCTTAATTTCACAGAATAATCAACAATTTGATATTTTATCTCATCGCCTTTGATAGTGTGCCATGAATCTTTCCCACTTCTATAATTTGCAGGTCCCTGAGGAAACTGAAGATGTAAATATTGAAACAAGCTGTGGTGAGCTGAAACAGAAGATTTCATGTCTTCTGCATACCCCATGCCAAGGGGTATCCAAACAGCTGTGGCTGCTGACCAGCTGGGAGCAGTATTTAATTCTCCCACATGTCAGCACTGGCACCCGTTGCCTCAGGACAGATCCTGTGAGGTGCTCTGGGGCTGATGCTGGTGACAACCCAACAGTGGCCACACTCTCTCCTCAAGGGCAGGTGCTTGGCAACCTGTGAGCAGGAGTCAGCCCATGTCTTGATTTTGGATGAGGTGTGAACAGTGAAATAAAATTGCTCCAGGTGAATGAACTTGGGCTTTTCAAACACTGTGGGTTTCTTTTATTTATTTACTGCCTGGAGCCCCATGACCTCCTTTCAGCCCCTCACCACCACCAGTAGCCCTTCCTCCTGTAGGGCTGCTGTAGCCACACTGCTTCCTACCAACACAGGGGTATATTTCCCCTCTCTCCTCAGAGCCCTTGTTTTGTCCCTTCCCTTGCTAAGGCTTCAGCTCTCAGATCTCCTTCTCCCTCATGGGCTTGGGGTGACACAAGAGGAGACAGCTAGAGTATAAGAAGGGATATTTTGACCTCAAGCTGACTTTCCAACTCAGTAAGAGCAAGGTACTGAACCAAGGAGAATATACACCTGCAATCTTGATTTTAACTGAAGGAATAATAAAAAAAAAATAATGCCAAATAATATTTCAAAGTAAAGGGTTAACACTCAGTTGTCTGGAATTTTTCCAAGTGGAAACAAGGGTATAAAAGGGAATTCCAAAAGGAGGCAAGAATAAAATCCAGACCAGGAGCTTCTTTACACAGGATCACCCTACATGAGGACCAAAGGGTAGCTGGATAGGCAAGATGCAATTTAGAGGCTTTTTCTGTCACTAACTTTGGCCTTAATTTTGTTTTTATGATTAAACAGGCACCTTCTGAATTTTTTTCAAAACTGAGGAAAGATGTTACAGATTTCATTTTCAAGAAGTGCATCTCACCCCATCTTCTGAACACTGCCATCTTAAGATGTCTTAAGTTTGGGAAATAGAATTTGGCAGGGACATCTAAAAGAAGTCAGTTTTCGACCCCGGAGCATAAACTTCATAGATCCTTTCAAACTCATGTGATTCCCAGGTAGTCACTTTTTTTCCCCCCATAATCCACACCAGGTTCTCTGCTACAGAAACTCAGCTTCTTCATGGAAAATTTCCCCCCATAAAATACAGTGACTCATGAGAAGATAGTATCAAACCAGCAATTTATTGTGTAGCAAATACCCACAGCCTGAACTCCCTCCGACCTCTGCTACGTCAGCTCAGCGCTAGTTAACACAGAATGCAGGAATCCATGGCTACATGGGAGTGAAGCAGCAGGCAGGATAACATATAGGGAAACAAGCAGCTGCATATATTTCAGAGCCATTGCTTTTTCTGGGAGGACACCCCGGGCTCCAGGCCTCATGGTGGAGACAAGTCTTCCTTTACTTAGTCCTCCTCCTCCCAAAATAGTGCCTGTAAGCAGCAGCATAGCCATGGTGATAAGCGTAGAGTTCACAGGGGTGATAGTCTTCACACATCTCCCTCTGATGTTCCTGGGGGGCCTTGCTACGTTCCCTGATCCTGAAAATGGGGGGAGAGAAAAGGGATAAGTGCTGTCATCTTCCATATGTGCCCCACAATCCCCCACCAAGATCTATCTCCAGTCTCAGGCATCATCCAGCTACCGAGGCTTAGCGTGTACCATCTTCTGTATTCCCCACACCCCAGGGAGTGATGTGACTAAACTAGGAGCTCTTTGTCCCCCCAGATAACCTTTTACATCAGGGCTCAATAGGGTGGGGGGGAGGTTTGTGGCCCCCAGCCTCGGAGGCATTTGCTGGCTGCCCTCAGTGTGGACAGGGAGTGGGAAGCTGGTGGCATGGAAGGACGAGCTCTACCTCTCCAGCTGCCTCCAGCCTGCTCTCATCAGCTCTTCCCCAAAGCCACATGTGTAGCAAAAAGCTGAAATGTCTTGCAGAGGGGCCATCTGGAACTGCTGAGAGAGGATACCTCGATGCCTCTCTGGGAGACAATTTCTGCACCTCAGCTTTTATTTTCACAAGCCCCATATGAGGTAGGAAACTCCCTGTATCTGTATTTTATAGATGGGGCAACAACAAGGTTTACAGAAGGCCGTGTGATTTAGAAAAGGTCATGCAAAAAAGTCTGCATGTAATCTGAAGACTGGAACCAGATATCAAACCGACCTTCCTTTCTGGCAATCTCACACTGATTCCCTCTCCTTTCTGTTGGTGCTTTCTCCAGATGAATTAAGCAGAGTCCCCTCAGCACAGAACACGTCCTCAAATTCAAGGACTTGCTCTCTGATAATCAAATTCTGTGTTCTCCCAGGTATGGGGAGAACTGGCACAACAAGCTGAGAGAGGAGTGGGGGCTTCAAGGAAGTCACCGTGGCTTCTTCCAGTGGTACCAGCCTGTGCTTGGCTAGGAGAGACCTCTCCCTCCTCTCATCCTCAGGACCCTGAGACAATAACGTACCTCTCCTGAGAGATGGCTTGTAGTCTCATATGAGGCTGTATGAAGTCATTGGCCCTTCTCCTGTTGATGAAGGGATCTGAGAAGGCAAGGGGTTGTTCAGAGTACGTTGATACTTGGGCTAGGCCAGATTTTCACAAAGATCAACTCCCCCCTTTGTGAGAGCCTCCTTGTCCTCACTCCTATGCACAGTGAAATCTAGGATATCTTAATATTCCCTCCTGTCCATCCCAGCTGGTTGATGCACAGGCTTCCCCCTCTGGCTTGAACAGCCTGTGTGGAAGTGTGCATACTGCTCTTGCTCTACTGTTACTCAAGCTACCCAGGGGAAAGCTACTGTGAGTTTACCGCCACAGCCCCCCTGACTGAGTAGAGTTTGGCCAAGAAAAAGGTGCCAAACTAGTTAGATCACAGGAGGTCTGGGCACACTCAGAAGAATTCTCACCAATGTGAAATTATAAGGAAGGGCCTGAGTGATTTTATCTTCCTCCAACATTAGGTGGTCACTGAGCAAAGGTCTGTGTGACAGTTTTGCACTGTGGTGCCTGAAGGTCACCTTCATCTTGTTTGAGAGACAACATGGTCCTGTTACAGAGTTCACGGGTCTGTGGATGTCTTTGGCATTGACTCCCACCTGAGCCTCTGTGCTTCTGACTAGGTGCTTTGTGGAGTCCTTTTCCAAGATGATTGATTTCTTTTTAATTTTGATCAACCTGTTTTCTCACCTCTCTCTAGGTCATTGCTCATTCCAAAGTGAGACTCTCCACTCTGTCATGCCTTCCCATGTCACTAACTCTCTCTTCCAGAACAAGGAACCTTCCTGCCCACACATCCCACAGGCTTCCTCCAGGACACCGGGCAGTAAGATTATCCACGTCCTTGGTGAAGTACAAATCATGTCACTGGCCTCTGTGGTACCTCTTTCTACACTCAGCCCAGAGCTTTTTGGATAATGTATTGCTCTGGTGTCCCTTCACTTGTTTTAGGTGTATGTAGCTGGGCTCTAAGCTCATCACTGTTTGTTTTCCCCTTCTCATTATCCTGTTTTGCAAAACACAGTGGTACACACTTGTGCCCAAATGTGTAAAGTCTTTTTCGTGCTCTTTTCCTATTCATCCTCAAACTCTATCACCCAAAATTATCAATTTCCCTGGGCTGAGTGGTTCTCCCTTTTTAATCCTCACAGTAAAGTATAAGGAAATGAGCTTGGAGATGCCCGTAGCACACTTTGAATTCAAGAAAATAGCAAAGCAGCCTCTTACAGAGATACACGTGGGATTCCATGCTCTCATGGGACTCTGGGGAAAGAAAGAGTAAAACATGCAGTAAGACAATGTATTCATAGGATACAGTCTTTCACGCACCACAGATCAATAGAACACACACAACAAGCAAAGAAACCAGGTTTTAAGGTACCTGTTTAAAAGGAAGAGAAAGGGATGAACAGGGCATATATCAGGCATTGAGAGTATTCAGGAGGGTAAAACAGAGCTACCTAATATCTTATCCAGGCCTTCAAGGCTCATACTTGGTCTTCCAGTGTGTGATTCTCAAGCATGTTGCTTCACTCTCATGTTCCCATCACTACTGTGGATATGATACCTGCTTATCTTCAAAGCCTGGATATGTGCTTATGTAATGGATTAGCATTGCGAAATGTCTTTGACTCTTGCATGAAACAGCAGCCTAATTCCATCTGTTTGGAACTGTGCGCATGAAAGAAAAAGGGGCAAATATTACAAAAAGAGAGAGGGAAATCTTTCCATTTACAAGGAAGAAGCCATGACTTGGAGTGCAGTAGGCTAGTAATTGAGAAAGCCTTAGAAAATAGCCTTTGGGAGAGTCATACCCAAAACACCTCCTGTGCACCCCTCCATGACTCCTCCCTTTATATTGTCTTGGTAGTCAGCTGTGTCCTCCAGCCTCCTACCTACTGCAGGATAGTCACACGTTATAATGGCCATGGCAAAAATGATTTAGTCTCTTCTACCTCTTCTTACTTGGTCCAGACAATAGAGGGGCAGAAAGAGGTGCAGTCTGCAGAGTGAGCTGGAACAGCAAGTAAGGGGCTGAAGCATCCCAGCCTGCCAGCTGCAATGACTGGAGCTGGCTGAGCTCTGGAGCAGAGCTAGGAGAGTCTGAAACAAGGGCAGGAAAGCAGGCAAGAGATCAAGATAAGGGGAAAGAAAAAACAAACACAAAGATAAATATCTGAACAGACCCAGAGGTATCTGCAACTTTGTAGTTATCGCCCCACACAGTAAGACAGGTCACCTACCATAGCAAGTAGCCGCCATCACCAGGACAGCCAGGAGGGTAAGGACGATGAGAGTGCGCATTGTGCAAGTGCAGGGAAGAACCTCTCACGCTGTGTCTCTCACTTTGTCTCACTCTCTTCCCACCGAGGCAGCGGGAGATCTTCGGCCGTCTGCAAAATTAGCACTGGAATGTTTATTATGAAAACAGAGTCAGGGAGGGGGGAACCCATGAAAGAGCGTGGGGAAGGTGATGGCTGGTTGGTACACACTCTTTATGGAGTTGTTACAAAACATCCTCTATTAGCAGACTGAAGCGGCTTTCGGGAAGGAGGGGGCATGCTCCCTTCCTCTCTCAGTTCAGGACCGGGGACCATATCTCAAAGACAAGTATGTCATTAACACTACATGTTCAGAAAAGCTGGCCTCCAAGAGTGGAAGGAATTCAAGTGCCTGACGAGGACCCGCAGGGAGGGGCCTGTGCTTATCCTAAATGTACATGTTTGCCTTTCTAATTTTTCCTCTGATCTGCCCTCTTTGCCCTTGCCATCCTGTGTCTGCCTACACAAAGCCCAGTCTGTTCTGTCAGCTTTGCCGATGGAGCCATGGAGAATAACCCCTCAAATATTTCTTTCCAACTCAGCCCCCCTCCCTCAGGTTGGCCCCCACTGTACTCCAAGCCTGCCAGAGACGGAGGAGGACTCCAGACCTGCTGTCCCTTAACATCTCCTGCTTTACTGCTCCAGTAGTGATAAACAGCAACCTATAAGGATCCCTTCTGCTGGAGGGATCATGATTTTTGCATTCAGACCACAGTAGCACCCAGAATGCTGTCTCTGCAGGTCCTGACTGTGGTATTGCCCCTACACTGCTTTTCCAGCCCAGGACAACACTTTTTTGGAAGTAGAGGAAAGCACGTTTCTCAGACCTCCTGACTCCCTGGTCCAGCACTAACAGTCCTTGCCCCACTGGGTACCAAAGTCAGATATAAATGCAAAGCTCCTCAACCAGGATGAATCTACCATGCCAGCAGTCTCTGGGAGCACTACCTCACCTGCTAGCACTGAAAAAGCTTGTCTGGGACCAATGTCATGGACAGCAGTGGCAGACAAAAGGTGGGGGTTCCCTTTTCCCAGCTCTGTGGTGTGGTAGGGAGGAATGAAAGAGGAAAGAAGGAGCTTCAGGGATGGGCCTCTCTGCTGGGACTTAGCTGGAGTATGGACATCATTATGCAAGGGAGGGAAGGAAGAGCGCATACCCAATGCCTCACCATGGTAACAGTGGGGCTGAGACCATGCAAACTGCCTGTGTATGAGCGCAGGGCACAATAGCCATTGCTATGTATGAGCCAGGCCATGGTGACTATGTGTTTTGTCCACGTGCAAAAGGACTGCTCCCCCACCAGTCTGCAGGTCCCTATCCACATGCAGGTGGCAGGATGTATCACCGACTGGGTGGGTGCAGACTCCTCCAGACCATTACCCCCAAGACAGTGCTGTGTTGTCACTCACTTCTGGAGCAGGAAGCTGCTGTCACCTGCAGAGGCCAGTCTGGGAGTTGCACTGCACGTGACACAGCCAAGAGCTACCGGGTCTGCCAGCCAGAGCCAAAAACTTCCCCAGTGGAGGGTGAAACTGCAGTGGGACAAGATTACTCTGGGCTTTATAGCTGTCCTTTTCCATGCCAAACTCTCAGTCTTTGCCTATGGCCTGTGATCACGGGGAGAGAAGATGAGCCGAGGAGAACTTCAACTTCAGGCCGAGGCAAAAGAGTTACTTTTCTTCTCCATTATCCTACCCTATGTGGAGAGAGGCTCAGTCCCACACCACCAGTGCCCCTTATACCTTCCATGTCCTGGCCATTCAGTGCACAGCCTAAGATGAGGAGAAAAACAAGGTTGTGCTGTAGCAAAAAGCAGAGGTTTGCTGTAGTCACAGGATCATAGGAAAACTGAGACTCTTCTGCTGTCCTTCTGTACCCTGCCACTCCGGTCTCTTTAAGGAAATTCTCCGCTCTGGGATTGTTTGGATTCCTTGGAGTCCAAGGTTTTTGGATTATTGTGTTGAATGTGGATTATATGGGTTTCCTGAATATCTTGTTCACTCCCACAGCTCATGGAAGCTGCCAAGAAAGGTTTAAGGGAGAGGCAGGAGGGGAGATCCTAGAGGGAAAGCTGTGGGGCAGAGGGAGGAAGATGCTGGTAGTACTTTGGAGTGAAGGTGGGGCTGCACAGTGGGAAACTCGGACTTTCTAGCCAAACCTTCTTTACTTACCTATCTTCACTCAGTGCAAAGCCCTCTGCTGCCTGGAAGACCCTGCTCCCATGTCAGATGACTCACTAATCCCAGAATACCTGGATCATCCCCTGCCATACCACAGGAGAAGTACCACAAACACCACTTTAACCCAGATGTTTCATTTTTCACCACAGAAGCAATGTATTTTCCAAAGGACATATGAACATGCAGGCTACACAGCCCTATACCAACAACTCTCCTTTCCCTTGTGAAATTTCACCTCCTTTCAGCTCCCCCTCCACTCCATGCTTCTCCTGACCACATCTCCCCTCTGCACAGTCCACGTGCTGCCCCAGAAGTAACACACCACACAGCACAGTGAGCCAAATTCCCCTGATTTCCAACAGTATCCACTGGTTAGACGGCAGAAAAAGGAGCTAAGACAAATTGCCTGCAAATGCCAGGGAGATTTCTGCAGTCCGCCAAGTAATGGGGAGATCAGAAAAGCAGCCCTCTAATCTGTCCCCTACTGAAGTGGAGAATCACAATGTTACACACACTATAGCAACCACACTTGACATTTTGCAGCTGTAAAGCACCAGAAAGGCATTAATAACTAGCAGCCATCCAGGAAAAGCAGGGCGGTCCCAACATACTCACTGAGCTGTCGCTTCCCTGTCAGCCAGCAGCTCTTGTCTGAGGGGGCAGTTCTCCCAGCGTCCTGTATCCTGAACTGAAGAAGAGGGACCTTTTATTTATTAGCATTGATTGGTGACTCCTCCCCTCTCTTGTCTCCCACTCTCGGTCCACCCCCAGGCTACCACCTTCTCTGTCAAAAACACCTTCTGCCCACAGCCAGGAAACCAAAAACCTCAAGAAACTGAGCCAAGAGAGAGAGGAGAGAACACAAGAGCAGACACCAGGGGATGAAGGGGGTCACAGCAGCATCCAGGCTGCCTTTCTGTGCCCAGGCCAGGACATGGTGAGTGCGCAGAGGCTCCGAGAACAAGCTTGGCCTCTCCCCTTGAAACTGGACTCCCATCTCCTCGGCCAGACTCTGAGCCATGCTGCTGATCAGGGCACCTGCTCTTTTCCACGGTGAATGATAGAGGTCAGGAGGCCTTCTTCCGTCTCCCTTCATGCTCCTTTTGGAACCGGATGGTCTCCCCTCCTAATAGCAGGCTCATATCGGACTGAAAACTCACGAAGACAACACACTGCTTTTGGGGGCAGCAGTGAAATCTCCAAGAGTGATAAACCCTACGAGGCCAAGGGCTGGCTTACACACACCCAAGTGCCCAAGGTGCACACTTCCTGCTCACACTGTTGGCTGTTAGACCCACAGCAGTGCTGGACAGCCCAGCTGGACAACCAAGGGCATGTGCTGGCTGGACTGGGTGATTGGGCTCATGATTCTGCCCACATCCACCCCACTCAGGCCAAGAGTGCCCACGTGCCATGCTGGGGTGCTGAGCTTGTGTGAGTGTTCCCCCTCACTCAGCTGAGATCCAGGCCTGGTGCATGCTCAAGTGTAAACAGTATGGATGGTGGCAGGTCCAGAGAAGCCAGCCCTGTGCTTAAGTAACTGAAGGCACAGCCTGAGTAACTGAGCTCAGAAGAGCTGCAATGGAGGGGATTAGCAACTGCAGATCAGAGGCTCATGAGTTTAAGAAAACCCATTGCATCCATTCAGTAGCCAAGCAGTGGCAACTGCAGTTTGTTTGGTCCAGGAAAAAGAGCAAGTGTGATCTGACTTAAACCCTTGGTTGCAAAATGAAAGTGATAGCACAACTGTGGAGTTAAAGAAACAGCAATAGATTGTTTGGGACAGAGGTGGGATTTGCTGCACATTTATAGGACTGCGTGTCACCTCATATGTAACATATGTGTCTGTGATCTATGCACTTTTGCCTGGTCCCCGAAGAAGAGTCCAAGGATGAGATGTCTAGCTCCTGCAGTGACTGATGATTTTAACTGGAGGAATTTCAGACCTAACTGCAGCAACAAGGTAGTCACCATTATATGTGTACTTGTACAAACAGCCTTTAAAGCCTGAGAACAGTAACCTGATGTGAATATTTCTGGACTATGTTATTATTGCTAGAGACAGCTTATGGAGCTTGAGCAATGGTCCAGATGGAGTCCTTGTAACACCTGGGACTGGTTATTATGTATTCGCTCCAATGCATGAGCCGGCACATGGAGGAAAGCTCTCCTCGTTCCCTGACATGGCAGAATGTGGCCCAGAGGCCTATCATCTCAATTCATGCTTCCTAAGCTTGGGTAGCAGGAATAAAATGTTCCCCAGGTGTGCTTGAGGTGTAAGAGACATCATTATGAGTCACCTTTGAAAAGCAGTGCAAAGAGGAGGACGTTCCTTGTCCCCTCTTCTACCACAATTCAGGAACAACTGAATATTCAGCTCTGTGTCATGCAGAACTCTGAAAGAGAACAGGAAACAGAAAAACCTGGTTGGCTGTCTACCTAGATGTTGGAAAGGCTTCGGCCGCAGCGTCATCTGGAAATTGTTTTGCAAAGTTGGAGAAAATGGGCATTAAAGCTGGAATTGTGAAGTGGTAAAGGAACCAAACAGGACAGAAGTTCAAGCAGTGGAAAGGATCAGTGCCAAGAAGTTACCAGTTGAGTTCCTCCTGGGGCTAGCTTTATTGAATACTTCCGTTAATGACTGGCTCAAAAAGGGAATACTTGTTGAGGAAGTCTATTGATGACACTAAGCAATAAAGCAATATCAGTGGAAGGAAGGCCTGGGAGCTCATATAGGTGGAAAAGGATGACCGTGAAAGCTAGAGTAACAGAGATAGGGTAGTATGCAGTAGCCCAAATTCAAAGTTTTCTAAAGGGCTTAGGAGCATGAATTCCTAAGAGCTCATCAGCTGGAAGCAACAGAGGAACAACAACAACAACAACAACAACTAGTTATGAAACCAACAGTCAGAAAGGTGATCACAGAATGGTGAGTCTCAGATGTCTGCTGAGAATCTGCCAGCAGAGGTGGGGAACTGTCAGTGCCCCTGCCTAAGGAACCAGGGAGACCTCAACAGGAGTCCACATTACTCATGTTCACGATAGAGGTATTCCGATGGGAAGTGGTGTAGACAAGGATGGGAAATAGAGGCTGTTTTCAAAGAAAAAGAGCAGCTCATTGAGCTTAGGGAAGGAATACACTTTGTTGTTTATGAATGTGCTGGGATAAGCATCAGGGAGGTATAAACATTATTTAAGCTAAGGGACAGCACTTGTCCGAGGAACAAGGACACATGGGCATGGATTATGGCCATGAGGACACTGAGGCTGGAAATGGGACATTTCCTAACTGTGAGACCTGTGGGGCCTGAAACAGCTCCTGTGAGAGAACTAATTGCCTGTCCACTGTCCTGGCTAGAAAAGTGTTGTGGACAATGCTGGGAGGAAAAAGCTCGGTGACTCCCACAGGCTACAGTGAGAGGGTCTGTCATTTTGTGAGTAGCAGCGAACCCTTCCCCAGCCCAGTGCCGGGCACGCTTAGTATTCAGCTCATGGCTCCAATGAACCCTTCAGCAGAGTCACCGAACGCAGCAGCAAGGGAATAAACCCCCATAGCTCCAAGGCAGAGCGAGGTTTCCAAAAATCACGTTACCCAGAGTGTCAAGTAGTTGGACTCACTGACCTAGGCAGCCTTTTCCGATCCTACATTCCTGTGTTTCAGGATATAAGCTAGTCAAATACTGTGACGAGCTATGGGTTAGGGAGCAGTTTCTCAACATGATAAACAAGTGCTTTTTGGAACAAGTAGTTCTACAGCACATGAGAAAACAAGACTTTATTTTTACTCTTTCATTTAATCCTAAGTAATATCTAGGAACTGATCCAAGAAGCAAGTATAATTGAGCCACTAAGTAACAGTATCTGAGTATCCACGATATAATTAAAGTCAACAACCTCATGGAATAAATCGTGCTGAAAAAACTGGTATACTGACACTAAGCTTTAGAAAGGGAGTCTTTTTAAACACAGGAGCTAGTCAAAAGACTACAAAATAAAAATAAATGGAACATATTTCAGGCATTTAAAGAACTTGATATACATATCTGAACGTGTGTGAGCTCTGGCAGTGAACTCACTCAGCTGTCAGAAGTTAACCCTAAAAGTGGTTCAAAAATCAATTGTTCATCCTGCAACAAACAGTGTTCAACATTTCAAAACTAGATTTAAAATATGCAGATTAAAATAAGTGTCAAGCACATAAACAAGAAAAATCTGGTTTCACAGCCATCAAATAATTTTGTTTCAATACAACTGAAATGATTCCTTTCCATTTCAATGGTTGGGTGGGGGGAAGAGAGTAATATCATAATGCATAAGTGTTTTGCTCCAAAAGCATTTAAACATTTATCTTTAGAATCCGTTTCTATGGAGAAATAATTTTGCCCCCATCATTACAGCTTCATGGAAAAATAAGATTTTCTTGTGGGAAAATATCTATTGGTTCTAATTGAAACTTCTAACAAAGCAAATCTATGCCATGTACAGTCTTAGGAGTATAGTAGAAACCACTGTCTGAAGCTTATGGATACTGTCAGTCTCTTATGGGCGAGGAAGGTTCCCACGACAACTCACAGATGGTCACTTTCACGCTTCCTCCAAAGCTTTGGGCCAGAGTACATTTTGGAAACTCCCCTTTTCATCCTATGCAACGACTTTCAATGACTTTCTACTGCCCAGAAGTGGGGAGCACACCTGCACATCCAAGCTGGTGGGTGTCACTGTTGACTGCTCAATAGTTCAGTGCCAAGGAGCAGGACTGAAATTAAACACTACGAAAAGGCTCAGATCTGTCTTCCCAGACCAAGTCCAGAGGATGATTTTTGGCTAATTTTTCTTTTGCCTGCAGTGTCCTACAGCATTTGGACCTGTCTCTACATTAGCCACTATCATAACGAAAGGTTTCTAATTTGTGAGCTGTGGGGTTTTGTTGCTTTGTTGGATTGTTGGATGGTGGACTGGGATTTTTAAGTCACTGTATTCTGTTGGTGGTGGCAAATCTTTAATCAATTGTAATTCAGAGACTAGTTGCCAGACACAACCTGACAGCTGCAGCCCATGGAGTTGTGATCCTCGAAGTTGTTCCTTGTAATCCATGAAACTTCAAAATGAAGCCCGATGACCCAGAAAAATCTGCAATTGGCATCAACACGGCAGCATTTTGGGTCAGCAGTACAGTTCAATGCCCTCTGTTTCTGCTTGCTGTAAAAGTGAGTGTGGTGGAAGCCTTTGACTCCAATACTCAGTGCTCTCTGTGGGATATCTTTTAGTTACCTTAAAGATTGACTGACTCTGTTTGGCCAGGAATTCCCAGAACAGCTGTGTTTAGCTGAAACAATGAAAAAAGATTACTGGTAACGGGAAGTGTATGAGCACAGAAGACTAAAATTTCACTGAAGTTAGACCAAGGTTATTTAATTCACTGAATAAAGCAACAAAGCATTCGGAGCGAAGAACTCACTCTGTTGCTTCCTTTGGCTTCACCCCCACCCACCCACACATGTCCACATACATTGCTCAGCCTATTTCTCTTACTGTCTGGGAAGGATGGAAGAGAGAGGAGATTGTTGATATTATTTCTATGATGAAAAATTTGGCAGAGGCTCCTGCGTGGGGATTAGGTAATCCATATAAGTAACTAAAATTGCTTGTACTTCAACTATCCTATGAAAAACTGGGCAAAAAAAAGTT